AGAGAGCTCTCAGAATGCATCAAAAAAATCTTAATTTGTGTTCCGAAGATGAACGAAGGTCTTACAGGTTTGGAACGACACGAGAGTGGGTAATTAATGACAGAATTTTTTTTCTATTTTGGGTGAACTATCCCTTTACATACAGTACACTTGCCAAAATTAAAAAGTTAAAAACAGGCTATACTCAAAACTAGTCCCATTTAGCCACTTGTTAGCAACTGCCTTTTTCAAGACTGATGTATAATATGTTGTAGAAAAAAATGTGAAAATATCCAGAGCTTGCGTCATCCACATACCTTTTTTAATCCACTGAACCAAAAAGCCATTCAAAACACCCTACTGACTTCAGAAAAATGAACTTGTTTGCAGGTTTTGGCATACAAAAATACATAATCCCCGAAGCATATAATAATTTCTTTTGGACTCAATAATCATGCAGTGAAATATAGTGAGTGATGTCGCAAAAGCCCTATTGTGTAAAAAAAAGTTTTGTGCCATTACACTCGGATAACATGGGAAAACAAGTATATCACTAACATTCACTTGGAACAAAGGGGTGTGTGCATCACGTACACAATGCATGTATTTCGCACTAAGATATTCACGCTTGGTGACAGGCTGTGAAACTTCAGAATGTTGCTGTGGGTTGGCAGTGTGAGATGCCAGCGAGCGCCACCCTCCCAATAAGTCACCACGAGGCGCAATTAGCAAAACTGTCACTCCTACCCTGCCTGGGCCGCTAATACAGACCGGCATCGAGTGTGTGAGGCAAGGGAGTGGGGGCTCTGGTGTCCATGGCAGCACCACACTAATTAAAAAAATGAGACTGCAACATGGTCTAGCTGCCACCAAAGAGCACTCATGCCAAAACCTATCTCCTACAAGAGAGTGTGCGTCGATGTGTGTGTGTGGTCAAACAGTCCCAAAATTAAGCCCATAGCTGTGTCTTTGAGTGACCTCATAGGCTTTTAAAGGCAGTGGAGGTGTGAATTTATCACAGGCAGTAAAAGGTTAATGGGTATGTTTAGAGATTCTCTCGGGCTCTATCATACCTAATGGCCAAGCAGCCCATGAGGCAACAGGAAGAAACTTTCCCTTTGTTTCGAAGTAAACGGTTAAATACAGAAAACAAATTATGGCTAAATAATCATTGATTTTTAAAAAAAAACTAATTTATCTAGTTCTTAAAAGCTAAAATTTTTGTATAGATTAGCAGGAATGAGCCCTATTGAGCAATAAGAACAAAAAATAAAAAAATTTTTTTAGTCATTTAGGGATGCACATTTTTCTGTATTAACATTTTGGATGAAAATGATTAGGCAATAACTGTTATGCTAAATCAAACAACAGATAAATAGTCAACTTTAAAATTCTAAATAAATTAAAAATAAAACACTAAAAAATAAAATCAATTGTTGTAAATGCTACAATCGGTTTTAGGCATCAAGGTCAATCCATTTCAAGTGGTCCAATGGAGCTCGCTTGACCATTTTTAATTTTCCTCATTTGGTTTTGCAATACATAGAGGTAATTATTATAAAAAAAAGTTTTTAAACTTTAGAATTTTTTTGATTTACTAAACATTAGGTGCATGTTAATAGGGGGATATTAGATAATTATAGGGGAAATTAAATAATAGCGTAAATTAGCATAAACAAGAAAAAAAAAAATATCGACAGATATGATAAATAATATGGCATCAGTAGTCAGATTCTTTGTTTAGCCAAACTAAAGATTTTCAGCTACTTTCTTCCTGTCAGCCATGTAACGCTTTTAACCTCTAAAAAAATGTCTCTCACTTTGCTTTTCCCCCCCTGTGTGAATGGACCCTAAGAATGGCATTTTTCTACCATTATTTTTGACAATTTTGACAACACTGAGATAACATGCTAGTGTTCTGTTTACAACCATACAACTGTATCCTTGTAGGGCGGGGTTTTGAAAATAGGGGTGTGTCCAAATCAGTAAATGATTAAGAACGGCTAACATACAGCACCTTTAATTCAGCTCTAGACATTCTCTCAAAAGACAATTAACAGAGAATGCTGGAAGAAGCAGCAAAGGTTGTCAAGGCTAAATGCTAAACAAAACCGTACAGACACAGCTTGGTCAAGAAGAAAAAGGGGAAAAGAGTTTCGCTTGTCGGATTCAGGTGGGCTGTCTGAGTGTGATCAGTCCCAAACATAATTCCAGCCTGCAGAACGAGGGATGATACATGCGGAGACAGAGGTGTGGAAGACAGCGTCTCTCTTCCTCCTTACCTCCAGCTCACACCCCCCAAACAGACCCCTAATTGAAAGACGAGAGTAGCCCAGACCTTGACAGGCGGGAGGTCAGTCTAATTGCTGCTGGCCATATTTAACATTAAGATAATCAGCCCATTAATTACCCTTTGGATCATTAAATCAGTCGCTTGCAAAATGAAATTTCGAGCTCTATTACTCACTTGAGAGACCACGAGGGAGGGTTTTCATTTATCAGCCACCAATCCTGGATGCAGACCGCACACACCAATGCCCGAGCTGTTCACCAGGACACAAGCTCACTGAATATCAGCATTTAGCGACAAGACAACACTTCAGAGTCTCAGTGCTGAGACATGCTAATCGAGAAGACCATGAATTTCATATGCATCGGAAACAAATCATGTCGATAACTCAATATTTTCAGAGATGTAAAGAGAATATGCATTAGATTATATTCTTATTTCAGATTTCACACATTTATTATGGTTAAATGTGCTCTTATCAAATCAGATTGAAGCCAGTTGGACGGTTACAAGCTAAATCAATTCAACTGCCCAGTTAAAGACGGGAAGACAGAAAATTACACGCAACAGAGCACTGACTAAATCACATGCGTGCACGATCACAGGGTGTATAACGTAGTCTTTAAAATGCAAGTCTAATTCTACATTATTCTCAGTGATTTCAAGTATTACTGATTTTTTTAGGTTTTTTATTGGGATGAAACAGTTTCCCAATCAGGCCTCTTGAACCCCTAGAGTTTCATGAGGGAACAGCAGGGGGTTAATAAGAATCTGACAGAAATTTAATCTTTTAAAAAAAGTAAATTATAATACTTTTTATAATAATAATAATAATAATAATAACAACTTTTAGACAGCATTGATCAAAAATGTAGAATAACATCTTAATTTTCAGCAGCCATTAGTATTGGTCACATGATCGTTCAGAAATCATTCTAATAGGTTGATTTGGTGCTCAAAAAACATTTCTTATCAATAGCTCAAAGTTGCCATCCAGATTTTGCATGGTTTATTATTGACAGAGAATATTCGTAAAAAAAACATTGAGAAATTTGCTGTTTCCAGCCTGATTCCATCCAATTGGCTTTTTACCGATACAATGATACGTGCAATGACACCATCACTAAAAAAAATATATTTTGTTGTATCGCAAAAAAATTTGCCCTTGAGCCGTTACCATACATAATTTCATGTACTGCGTAAATTATATAGGCTAGTAGCCTATCTGTTCCTCATCTCTTGGAAACAAAACAAACCCCATTTCTCGAAAAAAGTGTTTCCAAACAAATTTTTGCGACATTTGAAGTAACAATATAAAATGTCATGTGTCGTGTTTTTTTTGTACTTTGATATTGTCATGTGACACCACATTTATTTGCGTTAAAGCCCCTTTTCTTGACAAGTGTTTCCAAACAAATGTTTGACATTTGAAGTAACAATATAACATTTATGCACTAAAGTTAAATGGAAAAAGATTGTGCCGACACTCGTCGTTTTTTTTTTACCTTATATCTTCACTGCTTAGCCTATAAATGTATTACACAGCAACTATTAATGTCACTAAGTAAAAGCCAGTTCCAGTCAAAAACATGAAGGAATCAAACTGAATTACACTTCGTCTATTTCAGCAGGAGTATTGAGGATGAGTAGAGAGATGACTGCAGGACTGTGTCAAGTGACTGAGGTTAATTGAGATAATATTGACCCTCTCTGTAATCTCCTCTTCCCACTCAGGGGGCCACATGGCTTCACATACATAAATAAACAGCTACATGAGGAACTATAATCGCATTAGCACATTGACAACGGGCGGCAGAAAATGCCGGATCCATATCGAAAGATTTTCGGAGAGGAGGGGAGTAATTAAAAGGTGCTTCAGGTGACTAATGAGGCCAGCGTGGAATAGGAAGTCGATATTTTGGCGGCCAGCAGTCAGCACTAATTTGTTATGATGGCTGGTGGGACTAAAGCCTCTCTGCCGATAATTACGCTGCTAAAGATGGAGGAGCAAGGAAAAGGAAAAATCTGATTTTACGTTTTTCCACAGAACTCCACACACATATGCCATAAGGTGGATTGAAAAAATGACAAATATCAACTGCTGGACTGCTAAGAAAATGTGTTTATGTCATGGAAAAGAGTGGGTTTTCCAGGGTTCCTACACATTTTCCATTTTAAAATTTCATAATTATCCTGTAGATTTTTATGGTTGATACGCTTTTACATGTTCACTGACTGCATACATTTTTTTTATATTGTTATAGTTTTAAAATAATATTGTCACTTATCAAATTTATTCAGAATTTAAATTATTTAAATTATTTTCAGCATTATATTCAATATATAGTACAGTCATCTGTATATTAAATTTCTCTGGCGCAGTGCAAACCCACTGTCACATGTTCACTGCATGCATTGGTATTCTAGAAGTGATAACATGCTTACATGATGAGAAGAAACCTATCATGCTTTATAACCTGCGTATATTCACCTGCTTATATGACAACTGCTTGAAACTGTAATTGTGCTTTGATGATGCATGATCACCAAACAGCAAAGAAAAATCATGGTGGTACTCACTCCTCTACGCTAATGTTTTTAAAAAAAAAAGTAAAAATCAGCACCTTGTTTACATGAAGTGCAAATAATGACAGAAATTATAGAATGCACTGATTTTGAGAAAAGCCTAAACAGATACTTGTTTGAAAGAGGACATGATGTAAATGCGTACCTGGTGGCATCAGGGGCAGGCTTTAGGCGTCCTTGAGCATTGGCTTCCCACACACTATTAGCCAACTCATTGCCAATGGCTGACATGACCTTGATGAGCTCTAGAGGCCACTCGTCCAGGTCCAAAGAGCGGACACGAGACAGGTGAGTACCCAGGTTCCGATGAATGCCTGAACATTCTATACAGATCAAAGCCCCCAGGTTCAGACTGGCCCAATCAGGGTCTAAAAAGCCAGATAAACAGAGACAGAAACAGTCCTTTAGTTTATATACAGCATAACCACATACATATGGCATATATAACCCTATTTTTCCATATAGAATGATAGAGATGGTAATTCTGGGTGTTTAGTACATCATTAAATCATAATGTACATAACAAAAGGTACATGCAGATCTCAGTTTATAACAAAACTCACTCTGGGCTTCACAATCCACACAGCGCGTGTTTCCTCTCATGTTCCTGACAGACTGCAGAGCGATGGCTTCTGATTGGCTGCTCAGACGAGACTGTGGGCACATTCACACAAGTTAAAGTTTATTTGAATGGTAATGACTTATAAAGCATATTATGAAGCATCATTAGACAATTCTGGCTACACAGCAACATGTCACCCTGCATTTCTTGCTGAAATGAGATTCAAAAGCAGGGAAAGAAGGGGAACTAAACGAAAAGAATAGAGGCACTCGGTAGAAGGTCCAGGGAAATGCAATTTGCCCTGGCCTGAGGCATAAACACACAGTGGGTTGAGAGTTAAGACTGTAGCTGTGAAGCAGGAATGTAATACTGCAAAAAGGTAATATTAGAACGAAAGTAATTACAATTTCTAAATGTGTGCATGAATGCATGTATGATATACAGTACATACTGTTTAGTCATATGTACATATATTCAGTCATACAATAAGGAGGTGTATCATTTTAATTATCTTTTCGGCATGATACATCATCAGCACTTTCATTTGTCAGCAAATAAGGAGGAGATCCATAGAAAATTTTAGAGAAGGAAAAAAATATACATTATTATTATCATCATTATAATTATTTTTACTTGAAAGTTTTTTTTGTTTGTTTTATTTTGTTTTACTTGTAAGGTTAACTATAAAACTGCTTTGGAATATTCTTTGTAAAAAGTGTTATGAAAATTATTGGTAACACTTTACAATAAGGTTCATTAGTTAAACATTAGTTAATGTATAAACTAACATGAACTAACCATGAGCAATACATTTGTTACTGTATTTACTAATCTTCACTAACGTTAGTTAATAAAAATAGAGATGTTCATTGTTAGTTCATGTTAGTTCACAGTGCATTAACTAATGTTAACAAGATTTTAATAATGTATTAGTAAATGTTGAAATTAACATTAACAAAGATTAATAAACGCTGTATAAGTGCAGTTCATTATTAGTTCATGTTAACTAATGTAGTTAACTAATGAACCTTATTGTAAAGTGTTACCAAATTATTTTTGTCTTTAATACTGTGTTGGATCACATTACTTCGGAAAGCAAATGTTTTTCTTTTATCAGCCAGGAATGCAGCAGTTTAAAAAAAATTATAAAAATGAATCATGTAGTAGTTTTTTTAAATTAATTTTTTAGCATTTTTATTCCCTTATGATATTTTTTACTTTATACTCCCCCATCCCTGTATAGAAGAGGTGTATTCAGATTACTGTATGTATGAATTGAATTTGTGTATTTTTGCATAAATTAATGGATAAGCATCAAGTAACTGATCCAACAAGGAATGCAGCAGTTTAAAAAAAATTATAAAAATGAATCATGTAGTAGTTTTTCTAAATTAATTTTTTAGCATTTTTATTCCCTTATGATATTTTTTACTTTATACTCCCCCATCCCTGTATAGAAGAGGTGTATTCAGATTACTGTATGTATGAATTGAATTTGTGTATTTTTGCATAAATTAATGGATAAGCATCAAGTAACTGATCCATTTACTATATGTACATTTTCTACCTTCTGTTTGCTGCTTTCACAGGACTGTAGACTCGCCAGAATCTGGCTCTCAATAGCCTGAACCCATGCGTCCCGCTCCTCATAGGACGTTGCCTCAAAATTCCAGGTCTGTCCCGTCAGAGAAACGATGATGAACTCAAAGTTGTCTTCTTGTTCTAGATCAGATGGGAGAAAAGAGTCCAGATGATTACTAATCAACAGCTACAACAACAGAGAAACCGCATTTTCCCATTAAGTAATGCACGTGATCTTTGAATATTTCGGTCTTTTTCTGTTTGTTTGTTTGTTTTGAATTTACCATTTTCTCAGTGCATCTTAATAAAATTATATGAATGAATAACTCAAACACTTTAGTTGTACTGTTCTAGAATAAAATTCACAAGGAAGGATTCTCGCCCCTGTAGAGCACCTGTTAGCTGCGGGACACACTCCGCAACCCCTGACCTGGGGGGCTTGCCCCGCGACCCTTGTCAGGATATGCCACTAATTACAAACCAGACCAGACCAGCGTCCCGATCTTTCCAACCGTGTGGCTGGTCCCATCCACAACGCTTCCTAGGCAAACTGACATATGGATCTGCTATCCAGGGCCCTGGTTAGGTTAATGGGCCAATCACGAGACAATTAGGAAAATGTGTGTGTGTGTGTAAGTGAGTGAGAGTGAGAGCGAGAGCCCCCTTTTCAAGACTTTATCTCTGGAGTTTGAATATGGAGACATGGAAGGAGGTTATTTAACGGCACTGAGGGTCAACATTTGGAAAGTGTTAGGAACAAAAGGCCATTGACTGGGTGATCAGAGGGGACAGCAATGGAAGGGGCACGCAGATGGCTCGAACAGAGAACCTGCATTGATGAGATGTGGTGGTGTGTCACAATCAAAGGGATCCCACCCGAAACACGATCTGAGGCAGAAAGAGATCACACACTTTACACATTCTGTTTATAATTTACTCTGGAGGGGCAATTACATAATGAAGAAGTAATCAGGGAAGTAATACCCCTCCACACATACACACAAAAGAGGCATCCCTAAGGCCAAAATGCCACACGAAGTGGAAAACCCCACGCTCCCGATGGCATCTGCAGGGCCAATGAGAAACAGGAACAGGAAACAACCTGGAAACTCTGCCATTCTAGTATAAACTTTACAATATAATCGCTCTCGAACAGCTGGTATCCCTGGAAGATAAACCTACACTACCGGTCAAAAGTGTGGAATAATTAAGATTTCCTGATGCTTTGGAAAGATTTTGTTTATGCTCAACAAGGGTGATCAAAAATACAGAAAAATTGTGAAATATTATTATAATTTAAAATAACTGTTTTCTATTTAAGTATATCTTAAAATGTAATTTATTTCTGTTTGCAAAGCTGAATTTTCAGCAGCCCTTACTCCAGTTCAGTGTCACATGATCCTTCTGAAATCACTCTAATATGCTGATTTGATGCTCAAGTAACATTTCTTATTATTATCAATGATGTGATGACAACAGAAGTGACAGAAGCAAGCAAATACGGGAGCCAAGAGGGCTCGCACTTTGTATACCCACAGTCTGAGCTTTCTCTCACGCAGACACAGAACATACATGTTCTAACCATACATTCCAGAAGGCTGTTGGCTGTAGTCTTTGCAGTGTGTTCAAAAGCAACTTTTCAGCCCAGACACAGGCAATATGATGCAACACACCAGTCAGCTTTTGTCGATACTAGTTCTTTGATGTCGGTTTGGTGTGTCTGGGCCTTAAGTGGGAAGTTCTTGCTAGAATAAGCAGTAATGTGGACCAGATTTTATGCTGATAGTCTGTGAATCAATCCTCTGTGAATCAATCATTCATCTAAAAGCAAGTTAAAAACAAATGTAGCAATTGTATTCATAGCTTATTTGTTCTTCTTCACATTAACAAGTCTTTAACCCCCATTTGTCTGTGAGAGTTCTCTTCCAGCTATACAATGTTCTGAGACAGCTCTTCGAATCTTCTCCCTGTGAGGCCATTTCACAAGTTTAATCAGCGGGAAATCTGTGCAGCCACACCATTTCCTCTCCTTCAGTCAATCGCAGGCCTAATTGGACTCCTATCATACAAGTCATATTAAAGGTCCCGCAGGGCCAAGGGCCGCCCTCGCCCCTGTAAAAGAGCCTTGTGTTCAAATCCCAAAATTCCTCCCTTTACGGAAAGACATGCTTGGCAGCCGGAGTGCTTAAACCTTTCTGGCTTCAGAAAAGGGATTTGTAGGAAAGAGATCTTTCCTGTTCTGGTTCAAAGGAACAAGCAGAAATTAGAAAATGTACTCATTTACAGCAAAAGTCAACTCAAAACATCAACAAAAAGTGACTGGGGAGTCTGGGCCTATTATTTATTCATTTAAAGGTTTTTTTATTAACATTTGCAAGGTTTGGGGGCTGGTGGGATCACTGGAGCATCCCAGCCTAGATTAGACCCACCCTTCAAAGGCACCGGGCCCTCTGGGGTCAGCAGCAATGTTCTCACCCTAATTAAATCGCAGTGCTGTTGGGGAGAGGGCGGTATTTGACAATTATGAAAAGCAACAATGCAGAAAGACGATATTTGGAGGCAAATATGAAGATTGTCTCCGCCTCCTCCCCTTAGCACACAATTAATAAGAAAACAATTGTGTAATACAAAAACTGCGATGACAGGGCATCAGGCTGCCACCCCTCCCCTCTATTTCGCCCTTAAACTTTAAAATGGGGCAGCTATCATTCATCTGGTGCCTGGTACTGCTCTCAATATTCCACAAGCCACTAATAGGGCAATCATTATGTTTCGCACAATTTACACTGAAAGTATCCAATTACTTTCATGCTTTTCTATTCTTGCGCTGTAATATTGCAGCGGCAAGGAAATTTGTGAACTCTGACACAGGCAACCTTTACCGACAAACGGCACACAATCAACTCGAAAAGCAAGAATGCAGCGTGAACAGAAATGAGGCAGGGGGTGTTACCTCCACACATCCCAGACGGCAGTGCTCGGGGGTACAGTGGAAAAGTTGAATGGTTGGAAACACAAATTAACTGAGCGAAATGTCAAAGCACACAGTATTGCTTTGTGACACAGGTCATTAATTCCCATATTATCCCCTCCCCTTTGCATCCAGCATTAATAACCTGGCAAATATTACAGCAGTTATTCACATCCAGGGAAAAATGGGAACAAATAAATAAAGCAGAGGAGGGGTGGAGTCACGGGAAAGGGGGCGTAGGAAGGGGAGTTGCCAAAGCGGACATCACCTCCCACAATGAGTCCAATATCACCAAATGACACCATCCAATTTACCATCACTGCACTAAATCATCGAAACTCAAACACGACACTTTCACACGTACAAACACGATTATGGAAGTAAAACATAATTTTGCAATCGTTACATGCTCTAAAAAAACGTAAGTGCCGTGCAGGGAGTGTTGCGGGGGTGAACGGTCAGGGAGGACAGAAGGATAAAGCACAATCATGGGGTCTCAGCATGTGTAAGGGGCTTGTCTGAAAATGAAAGAGGGGTACGCTGACTTCCCCCTCGGTCTGTTTTCTGGAGCTAGTTACCTTCAGCGTTGGAGGCACTGCTGTAAATGTTGCGCAGACTACCGACGCGATTTAGTTTCCATGCCCTACGTTTGGCTGCTTCCGATGACAGGCACAGGAATAGGTGGAGAGAAAGAAAAAAAAAAGACAAAAAACAAATGACAGGAGTGGAGAAAGTAGAAGAGCCACAAAGATAAATATTTGGGAAATGAACAGGAAGTATCACAGAAGTGAAATAGAAATGACTGAGAAAGGCAGGGTGAAAACAAAGGATAAACTGCAATCAGCAGTTAAAAGTGCATATGTTCAAACAAATGAGAATTATACAGAAATTTCAAAGTTTCAATGCCTAATGAAGTCATTGGGTTTGAAGCAGGGGTTGAAAACACATTGCATTAGGTTAAAAGGGCATAATAATGCACCATTTGAGTGGAAAACTGCAAGACAAAACAGGTTATTTTCCATGTTATCAAGTAGAGTGTCTAAATGAAAAATAAAGATGAATTAATAAATGTGTGCATTTCATAAAATATGGAAAAAAAAGGGTAGAGTAAAGAGTGTTTTTGTCAACTATGGCACTTTTGGCCCTGTAGACACTTGTATAATTACTCCACTAACAATGTTTAATAGTAAACATAAATGCATCACAAGATTCTAATTTTATCTTAATACAAAATTCCCACCACCATGCAATTCCAACACACCAAATAATGCACTGTCTTTAACAGCATTCTGTGATGGAAATGACAATGGTGTAAGTGACGCATTGTAACATTTGCACAACTTTACAAATTTACAGTCTGACTGGAAATGTTCACAAAAATATACTTTATATTTACTTTCTTAGTAAAAACACTTAAATACTTGAGATGACATGTTTATATATAAACTTCGATAATCTTTATGCATTTTGTATTTGCACATTTTATAATCGATGTGTTTATTTCACCATGTGTTTGTTTATTTCACACTGTTTGAATGTTGAAATTTTCATATTTTAAGACTGAAACTCTGGAACTGGGACATGGGTAAAACAAACAAACAAAAAACTATTAAAAGTAATTAAGAGAGAAAAAGGTGAAGGCATGGTGAAAATTCCCAAGAAGGTTTAATTTTTTTTTTTAAAGAAAGAAAATACTAACAGAAAGATGCCCCATTTTAAAATAATAATAAAAACTGAAATCTGTTCCCTAAAACAAATAATTCTAAAATTACTGTGCTATGCAAAATCCAGTTTAAATAATTTCTTTCTCAGTTCACTGTGTTCATAGGTCTAGTCTTGTTTCTTTAAATAACTGCTAATTTCCCAGCTGTGCTGACAACTGACCTGAAGTCACTTCGGCTCAATGCAGTTTCACTCTTTTCCCCCTTAGGCCAAAGGGGACATTTGTTACACAACAGTAATCCTGGAAAAACAATCCCATCCAGTCCTTTCCATGTGCATCAGAGAGGGAAAAAAAACTACAATAACGTGGCCCAGAATCAAGCTATTTTCCACACAATAGACTCTGTAAAATCTGTATGCGATAGATTTACTCTGTCTTATTGTCAGCGTGCCACGCTTGATCCCCCACACAAACCATTCTTCGCCTTCTAATAACATCTATTCTATGAATGTTGGCTCTTAATATCTCTCACTCTCATTTGTAGGTCTTAAAAGTAATTTCAAAACGGCTTTTGTTGATCACAGAGAGCAACTTTTAGTTTAAGATATAAATGGTCCTTTTTCCATACCATTAGGAAGCCGTAAGACCATCTTCACTTTGTTCCTGTCAGTAACAGCACAGAGCTGTTCACCTGCAGAATGCTTTAATTAAACGTTGCAGTCACGTGCCAGACCGATTCCAGCTGAGGACACCTGTGAGGCCCCGCCATCTTCTGGAATGTCTTTCTTTTTCTGGCTGCTGCTTAAAACGTATCGCCTTCCTGAGGTATCCATGTCTTTGTGCGATCATCAAGGCATCCATGAGTCTCCCGCTGTCCCTGTGCAGTGCAGAGCCCACCGCGTCTGCCTGATCCGGTTTCAAAGGCTCTCACATTCTCCTGCTCTCATCAAAAGTAGTAATTACTTAACAAGGGCCACTTAGGGCCCTACAGCTCAGCGGTAATTGATAAACTGTGATCGTCCGTGCAGTAAGTTTGCCATTTGAGAGGTGGGCTTTCAGCGGCCCACTGTGGGGGAGATGCGAGGAGTGTAAAAATGCACGGCATGCTGGGATCCATTGATCTTCAGGGGGATAAAAGAAGAACGTGTGTGAGAAGACTTTGTCTCGGTGAAAGGAGAAGAGCAGGTGAGCTGAAATTAGAGAAAGACCCCTGAACTGCCATAATGTTAGCTGAGAATCATCAGCATGTTGAGATTGTGTGCATTCAGGGACACATTTCTAAAACGATTCTCCTAAAATAGTAACAACCAACATTTAAAGGTGACATATCACGAAAATCGGACTTTTCCAGGTTTTAAGTGCTATAATCAGGTCCCCGGTGCATCTACCAACCAAGGAAACGTGAAAAAGATTAACCCAGTAACTGTGTTTTGGTAAGCCTTTTTCTGCAAGCATCTGAAAAAACGAGTGCATCTGATTTCGCTCCCTTGGTGACGCGGCAAAGGGATCTCATTATAATATTACTGCCCCTATTCTGCATGTTTCCACCCATGGCACCGTCATTTTGATTTTGCAAGCGACAACGGTGTAATGCCATGGGAAAAGTTTGAGCAAAACATGCTAACTAGAGCAGCACGATTATGACAAAAATTGAAATTGTAATTGCGATTATTATTTACGATTATCACAATTTACATTGAATGATGTTTATACCATTGTTTGATGCGACTGTATGCCGTATTTTTATATGAAAATAAACAAGCTGAAAACACTAACTGAAGAACATTGTGCTTTTCTATAGTATTAAGCCTCAAATGTCAACTATACATCGGATTGGTTTCTTTAAATTATAAAAAAGTATATGAACGATTATGTAATTGTGGCATCCATAATTGTAATTACGATTAGAAATTCGATTAATTGTGCAGCCCTAATGCTAACTGTTCTGTCTTTAGCTGCACAGGCAAGCACAGACCACTATTTACAGTCCCAGCCTCAGAGGAGACAAGAGAGCAGTGGATTTAATGATTTATTTAATGTATATTGCTGCTGCCACACAGATCTAAAATAAACATGCAATTTATTTCCCAGCTGTTTACCTTCACAGACATAACCGACTGTTTTTGTAACTCGTGTGTTTTTAACGTAAACTTGTGTGTGAATGAGAACTTAGTTTAGTACTCACATGCTGTGACAGCCGCTTTCTGTATGTGTGCTTCGGTTGTGTGCTCTCAGAAAACCGTATATCAGAAGTTTAAACTAATATGGTTTAAAAAGCATGATTTCAGCGCGATAAACATGATAATCAGAACCAAAACAGATGTTTTTTTTAGAAGGTTCATGGCACAGCTCTATTCTGGAAAAGGGGGTGGGGAGCAGCAGCTCATTTGCATTTAAAGAGACAGGCCCGAAAAACAGCGTGTTTCTGCTTACACCCAAAAAAGATAAAATATAATTTCAAAATGATATAATAAATAATCTGTGGAGTATTTGGAGCTGAAACTTCACAGACACATTCTGGGGACACTAGAGACTTATATTGCATATTGTAAAAAGGGGCATAATATGCCTCCTTTAAGACGAAAGAACTTAAAAGACAACTTTACAATGTCTTTATGACAGCCAAATTAATCCATTGCTAAAGTAACGTTATCAAAGTGACTATATCAAGAGAGTCTTACAAATGGAGAGTCATTTTTACTTATGCATAATATTTTGAGGTGGCTGATTTGAGATCTAAACTAGTAACTCAAAGGTTGAAGGATCAAAATATCAGCGTCTATGAGTATATTTTAAGCATACTTTGGATAAAAGCTTCAGCTAAATAACAAAAGTAAAATACCAAAACCAGCTTATTGTATATAGGTGAATCTTACGAAAACATCTTTAGGTCATATTTCACCTCAAAATCAAAAGAATTTATAATATATTGCGTAAAGAAGATGAAGCAAATTAAGCTTTTAAAGCACTGTGAGATCATTTTGATGAGAATTTAAAGGAACAGTACTACCGAAAACAAGCATATTTCATGATAATATTTGAATGGTGATTGCTATGGACTTTTTGCATTTTGTGTAAGGAACGGACCAATATTTAAGTCATAATTCCATGACCATCCATAATCCATTATTTAATGACTGAATCACTTCATCAGTGTGAACTTGTTTTGAACATGAGAGCTGGATCAATCTGATTTTGTCACTCAGGCTAGCTTTAAAAATTGGGTTCAATCGATTCATTGAAGAGACTGGTTAAAAAAAACCTGTGCACAACAACTTGTTCTCAAATCAACTCATGAATGTACCAAGGACAGTTAAGGCAGATGTCAGGATTTTTAATGAGTTACTTAAATTTCAGTTTGTTCCACAAACTAAGTTATCACATGACTTCATAAGAGTTGAAATATAGCTCTTGCATCATATAGACAGTTTTTATAGCTATTTATTTTGCATTTTTGAACTTCAAGCCTCATATGAAAGAACATGTACGTGTGTGTGAGTTCTATAAAACACTACGAGCACAGTACCTGACCATGACAGTATGTGTGTGTTATTTAAAACACTATGAGCGCGGTACCTGGCTGGTGGAGCTCATGAATAACAGAGAGGCTGACAGCCTTATCCCTCAGCAGGCCCGCGGCGTGACAGCACTCCCCGGCCCCACGCACAAGTGCTTAATGGCTAAATTGGGAGACTGTTACTAATCGCTTATTGAATAATGAAAGTGACACAGCTGATAAAAGATTTCAATACTGTAGATTATTTATAATATTTCACTTAAGTGCCTGCCTGACGAATGGGGGCTGGGGAAGAGGCCTGGGCAGCGTCTGACAACGTTCAACCTTTTCAAAAAACGTGAATCAGGGCAAGACAAAGTGGCTCTCCAGGGTTAGGAAAAAGGAAAGGGAGGAGGGAGGATAGGGAAAGAGTAAAAGAAAGATAGTGATGGCGAGAAATAAAGAGGGGGTGAGTGAGGTACATTAATGTAATCCCA